TTTAGAGGATAACTTTATCAAGTGTGATTAGTTTAGTTTAGTTCTTTTAGAGTCTGTGTCAGAGAACAGAGTCATTGATTTTGTACAATATGAGATGATGTCATATGAAATCATGAATCATGTGACAACCCCGACAGATTTCAATTCCCTCCAAAAAAACATCTTCCCTTTTGTTGCTTATCTACTTTAGCAGCTCATTTTGCAAAATGTTGTGCGGACATCTCCTGTCACTGTGTCAAGAGTCCTCACATCTATTGGACCAAACACTCTGCTTGATGGACTCCATTCATTTAATGACATCAAAGCCCAGGAGAGAAAGCCATGTTTTTGAGGAGCAGGATGTCAAGCAAACACTATTGAAAGCAGCAGCTTCATCCGGAGATGAAAGCGCATCTCTTTTCATCTGTGGTTGATGTGCTTGTTTTTTTTTTTATCCCAGAGGACAGTGTGGGGTTTACCCTCACAAGATGCTAATGATGTGTTGCCTTCTGCGAAAATCAGTCATCAATCTGTGTACGAGCCGGCGTTTCCCGTCATTATTCCTCTGTGAGGCAGCCGTGACGAGCAGGAGGAGGAGAGAGGGTGATCAGGCCTCCCCACCTTTACCCCACACGTCTTGTCATCTGGTGTTAACATCCCAGCTCCTGACAAGCGGAGCTGCTTATCAGTCATATTACACTGTGAGGCGTATTAATGGTCATTCCCTCAGATTGGGCCTGTGTTCTTTTGAGAACAGTGATTCAATTATTAGGTGTATCCCTTAATTCCTACCTTCACTTGCTCGTGCTCAACAGATGGATTCTGTTATACAGATGGATTATACAATCAATCACTGCTCCTTTTGGTTAAGCTGCCAGAACTAGAAAGTCAAGTAACTCATGCAATTGGCTGAATAATTTCCTGAAACTTTTAGGTTTGGAAGAAGCTGCATCATCCCTGATATATCCAGATTGGGGCGGTGATGGCCTGTGAGTCACAATAAGATCTTTCACAACATGCTCTCCTGTATTTGTTGGATTCAATATTTCAGTCCTGGTTTTATCAATTTTTTGTTAAGGAATGATACTTTTGCTTTTTTGTTAATTTGTCTGTATGTTATAATTACAATAATAACTAGATTTATACAGCACTTATCAATACAAGGTTACAAAGTGAGTCACAAAATACATGGTAAAAAAAAATACCTGTGCTATGAAAGCCATGTGGATCAGAAGATCAGATATCATAACCTCTGTGACCCAAATACACAAATTCCTGTCAATAAATGGTCCAAAACATAAATAATAGAAATAGAAATAGAAATAATATCCCTGTCAGCCATATTCTAAATAGGAGACATATGTTTTGTTATCTATCCTGACTGTAAAAAAGCTCCACTCTTCTCCTTTCTAAATAAGCAGTAAACCAGTTTCATTGCAGTTTATGATCCTCTGCTTACATCATCTAAAACTGTATAACACTGACCTCTGCAGGACGATAGGAGTATAGTTACTCCTGTTTCGACAGCATATGCTTCAAATGCTCAAAATGTCATTGGTGATATATATATAAATAGGAGTCATACTACAGATAGTGATCGTGCAGGCTGATATCTGATGCTGGGATGCAGAGAATTTGTTTAATAATATAAGAAATTAAAGATGCTCCACTTTCTGTTGATCCAGCTGATGCTCAGGTCATTTATTTCAAAACTAATTTTCATCCTACTCACTTTATATTATTATTAAATATATCAAATAACATAAAACTCTCTTTCCCGCTCACAATTCAAAGGCGCTTTATCAACTATATCAAGTGATACAACTTTTTCATAATGTCTTTAAACTACCAAAAAAAGATTCTTGTGTGAGTACGTTCCAGCTGTGTGGCATTTGGGGAATGCTGACTCACACTTCCTGTTTCCGCTCGTTTCAGGAAATGGCAGAGTTTAATCCTTCCCCTATGCAGCTACTTCACTCTCTTATCTCGAAGACGCTGTCTGAGCCCCAGGGAGGGTTTTCTTCAGACCATCAAACCCACAGTCATTTAGTAAAGTCAGCCGATGGGTTCCTGTATGCTGCTGTTCACTCTCACACTCTCTGCTGAGATGAACATGCATTGTAAAGTTTGTGTTTTCTGCTAAGCATTCAGGTGTTCCTCTTTTCTGTAACTTTGTGTTTGAAAATCTTCCAAACAGAAATTAGATTAAAAACACATGGTGTCTATGCTGGAAAAGTGATATCTGAATGTTGTATTGTTGTTCATGCAGACCCTCTTCAGAGTGTCGCCGTCTTCATAATCTCACTGACTTTTTGTTGAGCACAGAAGTCTTAAAAATCTAAAATGTTCTGTCAAACACACAT